GGTATTTGAACAAAATCTGAAAATTTTCTACCTTTGAGCATTTGAAAGGACAAAAGCTTCAAGAGTCCATTTCGGGTAGGAGAAGCTTCCGAGATACTTAAGAACAAGGCTTTCTTTATCTTGATTTGCGATGAGAGTCAAAACAACGGGTACTAACACCGACATCTGCAATAGAACAATAAGGTACCATGTGGTTAAAATAAATTATAATTTATTAGTCCTTGAATCATATGAAAAATCTAAATGAGTTATGAGAAAGTGAGGACAAACCAATTGAGCTGCACTAGCACTGTACAATATGGCAAATATGTAAGCCATGCCCGTTACGCAGTAGACCAAGCATACTAAAACAAAGTAGTTGTCTTCGAAGCTAGATCTCGGGTTGTTGAAGAAGTAGAACATGGACAAGTACACTAAAGGTTTCATAATTGTGTTAAAATGATCCATTGTATCTTTGGCCATAAAATGTGCCAAACTACTAATTCCAGCTGCACTTTCTCTCCAATATTGTAATTTGTCTGCGGAGAAAGATCTCAACGCTGAAATTTTACACAAAAGAGCTATAAAAAAAAAAAGACACAAAACTTAGTTAATGGTCCGAAAATCGCGGGTTCTCATGATATAAGTTGCAATATTTGTATACTTTTGAAAACTTACAAACAGCTATGATCGTATATGTGTAGCCACGTGAGTCAATAGTCTCATCGTTCACCTTCGCAAGAGTTCCTAAACAAGCTCCCGCAACTAATAATATTAAGAAATCTAGTGCTTGTAGTCTTGCTTCTCTAAGTCGTTGTTTTCCAATCCTGAAACATATATAGACTAAAGTTTAATTTACATATTAAAAGAATTATCGAATTTTATTGAGCATAGAAAAACCATACCTTCCAATGAAATATCTGTATTGTCGACCGACACTAGGAGTTATTCGATTTGAATTATCTTGAGAATTGGAATAATTAAGTTGTAACTGATCTTTTTGGATCTCCACATTAGTTTTCACATCTTGCCATAAATCAGTACTAAAAGATTTTTCTTCGGACGAATCCTCTTGAGCTGATCCAGATGATGAAGGTAGTCCATCGCAATACTTTAACATATCGTGGGGCACGGGGTACCCATTGTGTAACATCCATCTCACAGGAAGTTGTTCTACGGTTATATCACCATTTGGTTTCACAATGCCTTCAAGAATATCTATATAATGATCAGGAGGATTCACACGATCCGGAACCGTGATCCCGATTCCAGCAAAATATTCTTCGATTTTCTTGACTGATCCATGGTACACGGTAATGCCACCTTTTGCTAGTATTATCATGTCATCGAACATTTTGTACATCGTATAACTGATCAAAGAAACAAAAACCATTATTGACATTACACTAATGTCACAAAAAAAAAGTAACTCTAAATCATCATGGACATAATGTACCTCGGTTGATGAACAACCATACAAATATTGACCCCTTCAAGGGCTTCACGTCGAAGTGCTCGAAGAAGTAATTGTGACGATGCACTATCTAAACCTGTGGTAGGCTCATCCAAAATCAGTAGAGAAGGTTCCATGACCATTTCGACACCAACATTCACTCGTTTCCTCTGACCTCCAGAGATTCCTCTTTTTTCTACCGTACCAACCAACGAGTCTCTTACATGTTGTAGTCCTAAGCTTTCAATAACTCTTTCAATGATCAAAACTTTGTCTGCTTTTGACATATAAGCACTTAATCTGCATGTAAAGAAATATACGTGAATCATATGCAACATTTTCTTTAGTATAAATACCATAAAAATATTTTTTCTTTGGAAACCAAAAAATTCTAAGCTTTGGACTCTTAATCTTTCGGACTAAGATCCAAAGTATATGTAAATTAGTTTATTTTCCGCATCAATGCTCTGGTCCGACTTCCCCTTAACCAATTGAGCTACCGACTCTAGTTATGATAATA